ACACTGTCTGTCCCTGGTGTTCCCCTGCCCTCACACACACTGCTGTCCCTGGTGCTCCCCTGCCCTCACACACACTGCTGTCCCTGGTGCTCCCCCGCCCTCACACACACTGCTGTCCCTGGTGCCCTGGTGCTCCCCTGCCCTCACACACACACACACTACTGTCCCTGGTGCTCCCCCGCCCTCACACACTACTGTCCCTGGTGCTCCCCTGCCCTCACACACACTACTGTCCCTGGTGCTTCCCCTGCCCTCACACACACTACTGTCCCTGGTGCTCCCCTGCCCTCACACACACTGTCCCTGGTGCTCCCCTGCCCTCACACACACTGCTGTCCCTGGTGCTCCCCTGCCCTCACACACACTGCTGTCCCTGGTGCTTCCCTGCCCTCACACACACACTACTGTCCCTGGTGCTCCCCTGCCCTCACACACACTACTGTCCCTGGTGCTCCCCTGCCCTCACACACACTACTGTCCCTGGTGCTTCCCTGCCCTCACACACACACTGTGTCCCTGGTGCTCCCCTGCCCTCACACACACACTACTGTCCCTGGTGCTCCCCTGCCCTCACACACACACTGGTGTCCCTGGTGCTCCCCCGCCCTCACACACACTACTGTCCCTGGTGCTTCCCTGCCCTCACACACACTACTGTCCCTGGTGCTCCCCCGCCCTCACACACTACTGTCCCTGGTGTTCCCTGCCCTCACACACACTACTGTCCCTGGTGCTCCCCTGCCCTCACACACACTGCTGTCCCTGGTGCTCCCCTGCCCTCACACACTACTGTCCCTGGTGCTCCCCTGCCCTCACACACACTGCTGTCCCTGGTGCTCCCCTGCCCTCACACACACTGCTGTCCCTGGTGCTTCCCTGCCCTCACACACTACTGTCCCTGGTGCTCCCCTGCCCTCACACACACTACTGTCCCTGGTGCTCCCCTGCCTCTCACACACTGCTGTCCCTGGTGCTCCCTTGCCCTCGCACTTTACTGTCCCTGGTGCTCCCCTGCCCTCACACACACACTACTGTCCCTGGTGCTCCCCTGCATTCACACACACACTACTGTCCCTGGTGTTTCCCCGCCCTCACACACACTACTGTCCCTGGTGCTCCCCTGCCCTCACACACACTACTGTCCCTGGTGCTCCCCCGCCCTCACACACTACTGTCCCTGGTGTTCCCCTGCCCTCACACACACTACTGTCCCTGGTGCTCCCCTGCCCTCACACACACTGCTGTCCCTGGTGCTCCCCTGCCCTCACACACTACTGTCCCTGGTGCTCCCCTGCCCTCACACACACTGCTGTCCCTGGTGCTCCCCTGCCCTCACACACACTGCTGTCCCTGGTGCTTCCCTGCCCTCACACACTACTGTCCCTGGTGCTCCCCTGCCCTCACACACACTACTGTCCCTGGTGCTCCCCTGCCTCTCACACACTGCTGTCCCTGGTGCTCCCTTGCCCTCGCACTTTACTGTCCCTGGTGCTCCCCTGCCCTCACACACACACTACTGTCCCTGGTGCTCCCCTGCATTCACACACACACTACTGTTCCTGGTGTTTCCCTGCCATCACACACACTACTGTCGCTGGTGCTTCCCTGCCCTCACACACACTACTGTCCCTGGTGCTCCCCTGCCCTCACACACTACTGTCCCTGGTGCTCCCCTGCCCTCACACACTACTGTCCCTGGTGTTCCCCTGCCCCTCACACACACTACTGTCCCTGGTGCTTCCCTGCCCCTCACACACTACTGTCCCTGGTGCTCCCCTGCCCTCACACACATTACTATCCCTGGTGCTCCCCTGCCCCTCACACACACACTACTGTCCCTGGTGCTCCCCTGCCCCTCACACACTGCTGTCCCTGGTGCTCCCCTGCCCTCACACACACTACTGTCCCTGGTGCTTCCCTGCCCTCACACACACACACTGCTGTCCCTGGTGCTCCTCTGCCCTCACACACACACTGGTGTCCCTGGTGCTTCCCTGCCCTCACACACACACTACTGTCCCTGGTGCTTCCCTGCCCCTCACACACACACTGCTGTCCCTGGTGCTTCCCTGCCCTCACACACACACTACTGTCCCTGGTGCTTCCTGCCCTCACACACTACTGTCCCTGGTGCTCCCCTGCCCCTCACACACACTACTGTCCCTGGTGCTTCCCTGCCCTCACACACACACTGCTGCCCCTGGTGCTCCTCTGCCCTCACACACACACTGGTGTCCCTGGTGCTTCCCTGCCCTCACACACACACTACTGTCCCTGGTGCTTCCCTGCCCCTCACACACACACTGCTGTCCCTGGTGCTCCCCTGCCCTCACACACACACTACTGTCCCTGGTGCTTCCTGCCCTCACACACTACTGTCCCTGGTGCTTCCCTGCCCGGGAAGCACCAGGAAGGTCCAGCACTTCTTGCAAGATCCTATCTTAATGCTTCTTAAAGACATCCACCTGTTCCAGCACTATTTCTAATGCCTGTTGGGAGGGTATTGAACTGCTGTGGACCCCTGATGTTCAGTCAGTGTTCTCTGATTGTGCCTATGGCATCTCTACTCCTGACTGGTTCTATTCTGTTTTTCCTTCTGTATCTTTCACTCAAGCATATTGTTATTCTACAATTAAAAGCAGAAGTTCAAACCTGGCAAGCACAATTAGGCGAGTATACACACTATGGAAAGGCTGTGAGAGCTAAACCTCATGTCCCTGGAACACAGAAGAGTAAGAGGAGACATGATCACCACCTACAAAATTCTCAAGAGGAATTGACAGGGTGGACAAAGACAAACTATTTAGCATGGGTGGAACACAGACAAGGGGACACAGGTGGAAATTGAGCACCCAAATGAGCCACAAAGACATTAGAAAGAATTTGTTCATTGTCAAAGTAGTTAACAAATGGAATGCATTAGGCAGTGATGTGGTGGAGGCTGACTCCATACACACTTTCAAATGTAGACTTGAGAGCCCAATAAGTTCAAGAAACTCTACACCAGTTGACTGACAGTCGAGAAGCAGGACCAAAGAGCCAAAGCTCAACCCCCGCAAGCACAACTAGGTGAGTACACTGCTGCCTTCCCCCTCCTGCCCCCAAACACCACTGCCCTTGGTGCCCCTTCCACTGCCCTCACACACACTAAAGTGGGGGATATCTGTCGGTGTTTGCGACAGTTTGTCCTCCCACCTCTCTTCTTGACCCCATCCCTTTGATGCCCTCATTTATCCCACCTCCCATCCTCTCCTCCCCCACTCCCTTAGTCCTCTTCTATTCCCCACTTCTCTCAGAAAATATATTATTAAGGACTGAAACAACTGCATAAGTCTCTTATCCCCCACTACATCCTCCCCTCCTGAATCGTTCCCCTTTCTCCCCTCTTCCCTTGGTCCTTCCCATTTTCCCCCTCAGAAAATGTATTATTAAGAATGACTGAAACAACTATATGGGTCTCTTATCGCCCATTCCTCACCCCCTACTTACCCCATCACCTTGGCCCCCCGCTTTCATCCCCCCCCCATTCCCACTTTCCCCTTCTCTCAGATAATTTAATTAAGAGTAAGCAGTAAGTAGTAACTCCAAGTAGCTTCACACTTTAGGGACATCACATTCCTGATTTTATCCCAGATTCATTTCTAACCATGAAAATCACTCGGGGGTGTTGGGTTATATGCTATATTTAATAAGCATCTGGCCTCAAACTTTATAGACAAACTGACATTCTCTCTTATACATTATATTTATGTCTGGGGCTGGAGGCCAGACGCTTGGAGTTAGCCACACCCAACTTTCCAATACGACACATGGGGAGCACGGGAATGTCATAGACCTGTTGAGTATGACCCCAGTGCTAACCAACCAGTGTTTTCCTATCTGTGACTATCGGCACGAGAGATCTAGCTCTTTATGCCTTGCCTTCGAGCCATTTATACCTCTAACCCACTACAGGTCCTACGAAACACATCCGCTGAAGAAAAAATAAAATAGATATAGTGGATCTTCATGCTTTTACTGTTATGTGAAGCAATGGGAATGTGGAGCAGGAAACATCAAAGTGTTGAGCCATATAATTATCTGAATGTAGTTTTGGAGTTACCTTATAAGTCTGATCTGTTTAGACATGTTAATAAAACTTGTTAAGAAAACTGCAGAGAAAGTTTGTAATCATATTTATTTGCCTGAGGATCAACAAGACATTCGACACACAGGCCTGATGTGAGTGCCATAATGCATGCAAGCATCACCTTGTTACATTGAAGCACTCTATTCTCGCATTTTAAGAACCATTTATGACCATGCTGAATGTGTGGAGCTCTAAACTAGGAAACAATACAAAAATTACCATTTACTAGTACAAATTAATTGCAGTTCTTAAGCCTACCTACTCCAATTATTTAAATTAAAAACTACTGTAATATACAGTACTATGCAAACTGTAAAGACTACCAATTTCCAAAATCTTCCCAGTATTGCTCAGTGCTGAATTACCTCACTGTACCGTGCCGGTTCACAATCTTTGAAAGTCCCCATCAATCTCTCCATCGATGCTTCTAACATGGTCAAGGGAACAGTCTTACACCAACTAATCTGGGAAAAATAGTGTTCTGTTGCTTTATCTTGGCTTGTCTCTTACCTGCACAGGAAGAATACAGCACTTTTGACAGGGAACTCCTTGCCATTTCCTTGAAGGATGGGAGTTTTACGTCCTTACCAACCACAAACCCCGACACATGCCATGGCAGCCAGAGGTGAGTGCTACTCTCTGCAACTATACCAAAACTTAGGTTTACCCAGAGTTTACATGTAGAGGGCTCCAGGAGTCTTCCACTCATCAATCCACTGCACTGTGTATCTATTTCCAATGCCTCGCTCTAGGAACTCACCTTGATGGAATGGTCCCCATAGTGGCCGTTTCAAAATATCGTACTGCATCTTCACATTTTCTGCAATAATCTACTTGAATACATACTCTATAAAGATAGCTTAATACTCACCATATCCAGATAAGAGTTTTGCTGTCCATGGTGCTCTCTTCCCAGCAGGCCAAGGTTAATGATGTCACGCTCTACATTATAGTTCCGTCCCCGTTCATTGACCCGCTTCTGTACTTTGTCGCCCCTTACTGGCATCATGCATCTAGCAAAAAACAAAGAACCCAGAATTTTTATGAGTTCTAAAACTAAATGAAAGTTTGCATAACATCCAGGAAGCTTCAAAAGGTATAGTAATAAAATATAGGATCCATGCAGAAAGGAGGGGACATATCAGGAGAAAGTGAAAAGCCATTACAACTATATAGCACTTGGAAGGGATCAGGATAAGGATTTGGGATGAGACGGGGTGAATGGTGCCGAAAACACTTGTTTTGGGGAGCAATTAAATTCTGATAAATCTCTCCACCTCTCACCAATATAAGATGGTAAATAATTGTTCAAACTCTTTTATACTGTGTGTTGTATCCATGTGTTCAGTCAAATATTTTAAATGGGCTATTAGAGCATCTCTAAGAGCTAATATCTAATAACCTACAACCATGATCATACACTGAGAACATAATACAATAGGCACGAAGAAAATTAGCATAATGTACCCCAAGAAAATAGTAAGCATTGATCATTAACGTCATACTGATAGATGCTTTTGTTACATAAGATGGGTAAAAAAGTTTAACAAATACACAAGGTTGTGCTATATTATTACCAAATAGGTTTATACTAATGATATAAGTACTGTATAGTAGCCTACTGTATAAAAGCCCCAACAAGTCCTATTATTTATGTAGAAAGCCAAAAAAAAGCATGTAATTCTAGCAAACCTATAATCTACCTTTAAATAATTAAAAATTTTACACTTTCCAAACAACTTCAATAGAAGACACCTTAATGAATAACCCTAATATAATCTTACCTAATGTTATGTACAATAAAGACAACCTAGAGTATTTTTTTTTGTATCATGCACAAGAAATCTTCTTTCTCCATTCAACAACATCTAATCTTACTCTTTGATTTGTACAATGCTACCAGCTTAAAATAAAGGCAACTGAACCATTGAACCTTTAGCAAACTGAGAGCATTGTTAGAGGTCAAGAGCATTCAAGGAAGGTCACTCTGTATTGTAACCTGAGAGGTAACCAGGTTATAATACAGTAACCTTTCTTGAATGAACCACAGAGAACTAAAACCCTTGGAGGGCTGCAAGAAATTGGCTAACGGACAAAATCTTGGTGAACCAATTAACAGTGTCCATTCTACCAAGTTAACTTGGTAGACCAGCCTGACACAACTGAAACCTTTCCCATACAATATTTCATATTTTTCCAAAATTTATGCTATTCATCTGTCTTCAGTACCAGTAGGTAGTACTGTACTAAAAATTATATGTATACATGTATATATGTGTATATATGTATATATGCATGTATGGATGTATTAATGTATACTGTATATGGATGTTATTACCTATGTGTAGTTGCTAGATGACAGCTACACTCGTGGTGTCCTATCTTCCTAGTACTCTGTCATATAACGCTTTGAAACTACTGACAGTTTTGGCCTCTACCACCTTCTCACCTAACTTGTTCCACCAGTCTACCACTCTGTTTGCAAAAGTGAATTTTCTTATATTTCTTTGGCAGCTTTTATGTATGTATGTATGTATGTATGTATGTATGTATGTATGTATGTATGTATGTATGTATGTATGTATGTATGTATGTATGTATGGTGTGTACTCACCTAGTTGTGCTTGCGGGGGTTGAGCTTTGTCTTTTTGGTCCCGCCTCTCAACCGTCAATCAACTGGTGTACAGATTCCTGAGCCTAATGGGCTCTATCATACCTATATTTGAAACTGAATATGGAGTCAGCCTCCACCACATCACTTCCTAGTGCGTTCCATTTATTAACTACTCTGACAATGACAAAATTCTTTCTAACGTCTCTGTGGCTCATCTGGGCACTAAGTTTCTACCTATGTCCCAGTGTTCATGTTTCACCCGTGCTGAAGAGTGTCTGTCCACCCTGTCAATTCCGCTGAGAATTTTGTAGGTGGTTATCATGTCTCCCCTTACTCTTCTGTTTTCCAGGGACGTGAGGTTCAACTCCTTTAGCCTTTCCTTGTAGCTCATTACTCTCAGTTTCGGGATGAGCCTGGTGACATACCGCTGAATCTTCTCTAACTTTGTCTTGTGTTTAACTAGGCATGGACTCCAGGCTGGAGCTGCATTTTCCAGGATTTGTCTGACATAAGTGGTATACAAGGTCCTGAATGATTCCTTACACAGGTTTCTAAAGGCAGCTCTTATGTTGGCCAACCTAGCATATGCTGCTGATGATATTCTTTTGATGTGGGCCTCTGGGGACAGGTTCGGTGTGATATCAACCCCTAGATCTTTCTCTCTATTTGATTCTTGCAGGATTTCACCTCCCAGATGGTACCTTGTGTTCAGCCTCCTGCTCCCTTCGCCTAATTTCATTACTTTACACTTTCCTGAGTTGAACTTTAGCAGTCCTTTTCTAGACCATTCCTCCAGTTTGTCCAGGTCATCCTGTAGTCTGTGTATGTTCGGCCCTATGTATGTACACATGTATGTATATATGTATGTATATAATAAAATAATAATAATAAATAATAAATGTTTATTCAGGTAAGGTACATACATACAAGAGATTTTTACAGAAATTGATAGGTTTATAGAAAGAGCTAGTACATACAATGCCTAAAGCCACTATTACGCAAAGCGTTTCGAGCAGGAAAAACATTAAAGACTAAAACTTAATACTAATTGAGTCTGAAGTAGAAAATGTGTTGAGAACAAATAAAAATAAAAATAAGAAAGGGGGGAACATGGCTGAAAAAGCAGCACAAATATAATTAGGTCGACAAACAGCGGTGTTTAAAAAAAACAAAAACATGGGCTGACAATACAGGAGTAAGGTAGGTTACAGGGAAAAGATGATTTCTCCAAATGTCATATTTGTTCAAGGTCGACTAAAAGAATAGAAATTAAATGTAGACTGTATTATACTTATTATAATATACATAGCATTTTTAGCCTACAAAGTTCATTCTCAAGTGTGGAGACAGGATTGATTGCTTGATAAAGATCGAGTCACCCATGAGGTGGCATGGGCATGAATAGCCCATAAGTGGAGGCTGTTTGGAGCCATTACCAGTACCAGTAGCCGATACTGTAGGTCTGTGGATGAATGGGGTCTTCATGGTCGCTTGCAGGTAGTCCTGCAGGAGGCTTAGCTGCCAGGTGAACTTAGCTGAACAGGAGCTTAGCTCCTGTTCTTGCTTTAGATTCAGCTACTCGAAACATAAGTTCCGAGTAGCACAGGCTATATGAGCCTGTAGTGAACTTACCTGGCACAGGAGCGGGGCTGTAGAGAAATATGTGGGAACATAACTGATTTATACCATGGGAGGTCAGGTACATACAATTAGGTGAGGGGAAAGGCTGAAGTAAAGAGTAAAGCTAAGATGCATGGATCAATAAATTAAACATACAAAGATTAGTCAGGTGATTAGAAGGTGTTTTGGGCAGTGATGTCATCACTGGCACCTTCCTATTCTGGGCATGCTCTCACTCTCATGGTGGGTAGAGTGAATAGTTCTGTTATTTGAGTATTTATGGTGGGTTGGTCAACTTTTATGTGCAAGCACTCAAGAAGTTGTAATATTCTTACATCTTAGGTTTTGTCTAAAACATATATAAAACAATTAGTCTCGTCTCATTGTGCTGTTGGCATGTCAATTTGTGATTTCAAGTAAGGCAAACAATGAGGTCCATGGCAATACAGGGCCCTCCCAGGCTGACTAGTGACCAGTGGATGGTTGAATAAACAAGAACTAGCCACCATTCAAACACTACACTTCTTTTTTTGCTTCACGTAAGAAAGTCAACGTACAGAACCTGGAGGGATTGTGCACACAATGACGGAATTGTAATGTGAATTTGTATCCATGAACCAAATCCAATTGTTATGTACTGTCCCCTGGGAGACCCTTAGGCTGCCCCTGGCACGACTAACCTATCACCTTAAAACATTCAAGAATAAAGTGTACTTATGAATTTCTGATTCACCTCAAGAATTATCACTGATATAATTAATGCTATGAAGTTAACTAGTTCGTTAGCAGAAGCAACACCACAAAGCAAATGCTGCCCAAAACAAACTGAAGCCATGATATACCTGTCATGTAGGACAACAACTATTTTATACATTCTGTTATATCTTACGAGCCATAAACACTCCTTGCCTACCTTTTTCTGACAAATGAGTCACTAACTGCAGGTAATTAACGTATAAACAGGCACCTAAACACTCAAAGACTGCCAGACCAACAAGCTTATGAAGGTCCGCCTCGCAAACTCCCGCGAGTCCAAACTATCTTTTTATTTTTTATTTTTAGAAACCAGTTGAATGCATTTACATATGTCTTATTATACAAAAATCCTACATAACATAAGAAATGTTATGGTATAATTTGCACAGGCAAATTGCTCGCTACTTTTGCGTAGCGAGGATATATTGAAGGTATTTTGTGCTTCGCGGCTCTGACCTGTCAACTGGCCGCCTGACGTTGTCCCCGACGGTCATCAGGACCACTTGTTGCCCTAACATTATTTAATTCTTTCCTATAACATATGACATTATCTTACCTTAAAGGCCATATCTGAAGCGACAGGTGGTATTGTAACTATATAAATTATGGATCTTGTATATACTGCAACAAATATTGTCAAATGCTAATATTAAGCTATTTCCATTATTCTTTCTTATTATAATGTTAGTAGAATATTTGCATAATAATAGCATCAAGTTCGTATTTATATAAATTTATGAGACACGAATTGCAGGTAAGACTTAATATGAACTATTTTGTTACAGATGTGAGGAGCGGCTTAATGACGGGCGGCGTCCACCCTAATAATATTCTGGATACAAGTCACATCCTACACAGAAATCTGTTTCCTTATTAATAAAATTATAATACGCAACTGGTCATTTTTTTTAACTTAAAGATGAGCATATGTTTTATGAGATGGGTAGAGGTGGAGAGGTTAGAGAAGGAGCAGGAAGGAGCAGTGTAGCGGCGGAGACTGTCAGTGGTGCAGGACCAGCACGCTGCCACCAGGGCCACCACCAGGGCCACCACCAGGGCCACCACCAGGGCCACCATCACCAGGGCCACAATGGCCTACTGACACACAAGGCGCCTCCACCCACCTCCACAATGGCCAGCAGGGGCGGGGTGGTGGCTCTCAAGCCCTCACACAAAAAGTAGGCCACAGCCCTCATGTATCGCCCACTGTAGGCCTGCTCCTCTGGGGGACTATGACTTTTAACACAACACTATTATGTAATTTAGAACTGTGTCTGGTTAAGAGATAATATACTGTATAGTGAATGGGTTTACCAAGTCGTTTTAGTACAAGGTATACCAGATTATATGATAGTGGCAGGGAAGAGTAACCTTGACGGTGAACCATTCATTAATGTTCAACAGCCAAAGTAATCAGGGAAATGTAAGATCACAAAAATTTAATTGAGAGGTCCTCACCCACATCCTTAAATTCTAATAATTAGTGTCTACATTCAGCTTTTGTTAGCAGCTTGACCTAGTATAATATTTGCCCGACATGCTGTGGGTATTTGTGGCTTGAGTATGTACTAGCTTTTTTTTATTTATTTATTTATATATATATATATACAAGAGTTTTTACATTCTTATACAGCCACCAGTATGTGTAGCGTTTTGGGCAAATATATCCATAAGCTCTATCTAGAAATCCAACATTGTGTTTGTAACACATCTTGTATGTATGTACTTTTACCTGAATAAACATTATTATTATTATTATTATTATTATTATTATTATTATTATTATTATATTATTATTATTATTATTATTATTATTATTATTATTGGAGAGACAGGCTACCTATAGGTACTTGAGGTCTCGGGTGTATTTGTTGCACTCCGTAGTTCCTACACTCCAAATTGTTGAACGTTCTGCTCTTCTCATTACATTCATTTTACTCAAAGTGAGCTTTGAATTTTAATATTGACAAACAAGTAGAGATGTTAGACTCAAGGTCCCTATGTTAAATTTATCTGAATTTACCTTGAGACTGAAATCTCTTTAGTGAGTACAATGGGTACAGGAAGCTGTACAGAAGTCCTTACTTTCAGAGGATATTTTCCAGAAGAATTTTCAACTTGAATACTGTTGTGACATTTACGACTGGCAGGTTGGGGATTCTATGGGTTTATTACCCTATGAGTGAAAATCGTCTCTTCTTTTCTGTCCTGAATTGTAACTTAATAATAATAATAATAATAATAATAATAATAGTTTATTTAGGAAAAGTACATACATAGTTGCAGATTTACAGTACTGTACAAACATTCTGTTTTGATTTAAAGATAGAGGTAGTACATGCAATACCTAAAGCCACTAGTACGCATAGCGTTTCGGGCAAGCCACTAGTACGCATAGTGTACTAGCGCATTGCGTGCAATGCATACTAGTGCTTACCTGGGGCATTTTGTGTAGATTTTTTACCATTTATATATACTGTATAATCATTCAGTAATTATTATATGGGTTGATCAGAAAATACTAAAAGTTAGCCAGAAATGCAGTGCATAGACTTTAACCTTGATGTTCACATTAAACGTTAGTATAATTAAAGTTCAGGAATATTGAATTAATTGGGACTTGTTTGCATCAGTAATTTTAACCAAAACGAGTATAAATTTCATTGTCCCTGGATTCAAGATGAAATGATTTGTAGTGATGAATCTTACGGATTACATGTCATCTGAAATAGTTGAGATTTACCTTCATTATAAGTCCATATTTATGAAAATAGGTCGAGTTGATGATAGAAGTGTTTTATTATAAAGAATTACAATAATGCATTAACCTATTGACATTTATTTAAATAGTTCTGTGACCCATTGGCCTGTATGTGACATTTACAATTCATTGGCAAGGTAGGGTTTTTAGGTTTGTAATTTACACTATTAATAAAATTCACTTTTGCTGTTTTCTGTGGATAATTGTTGGCTTTCATTTGGATTTCTTTTGTTCTTTTAGGCTTCATGTGTGTGTTTTGTACCTCACTTGGCATGTGTCCAGAATTGTGGTTGGTGTGCCTGATTTTCCTATCCCTTCTGTTGCTGACTCTAGAATGACCTAGGACTTTGTGCTGCATCTTATGTCAGGATTTTATGGTTGCCCCACTCAAGCTTGACAAGGACTGTTTGGTAGATGTGGTATACATGGACTTTACTAAAGCTTTTGATAATGTACTACATGAAAGACCAGCAAGAAAATTACAGGCACATGAAATAAATGGTAGAATACTGGAATGGATACAATAATTGTTAAAACAAAACAAAAAGGGTTGTGCTAAACAGAAATTAATCTGACTGGAGAAATGCAGTGAGTGGGGGGTAATGCAAGGGTCCATTTTGGGCCTAACCTTTTTTGTCATATATATCAATGACATAGATAATAATACCTGTATTACAAACATCATCAAATTTGTAGATGACACAAAGATTAATGGTAAAGTGGGAAGTGAAAATTTTATTGAGGCCTTACAAAGAGATGTACATGAACCCCACAAATGGCTAGAAGATTGGCAAATGTTTTTTTATATTGAAAAATGCAAGACCTTGCATATGGGGGCACAATAATCCACATTACATCTACCAAAATAACAACATTATCTTGCAGAAAATTGATGAAGAAATGGACCTTGGTGTCAGAATTTATCATTCACTGAAAGTATCACAATAAGTGGAGCAGCCGTTAAAAAAAAAAGCTAACCAAACCTTAAGAATAATCAAGCCAAATTTTGACTTTAACCCCCTCAACTACGCTGGCCAACAAATGTCATTTTGAGAGTTGTACATTTTTTTAATTAGGCTATATTTTAATGGTTTTTTTATGTTTTCATTACTCTGTGTTTTGAAATGAAAATAGTTTAGTTTGGAAACATTTTGACATTAACTTTACCTAAACATTTATAAAAACAACAAAAATGTCCTTAACAATTGCACTTTGAAGTTTTTACCAAAAACAGGTGTGCAGTGCAGGGGTTAAAGGAAACGAAGGTAGTTAATCAACTTTATAAATTTCTGTTGTGCTCCCACTTGGATTATTGTATCCAAGCATGGAAACCTCATCTTCAGAAAAACATCCAACGTTGAATGTTATGAAATGCCACTTTCTGGGTGAGTCCCAGAGGCTCCCCGGAGCTATCCAGGCTGAATGGATACGTATAACTTTCTGGCATCAGTCATTGTGCATAGTTCTTGCCTACCGGGGACCATGAGTCAGAACCCAGCCCCCCTCAAGAGAGGCACGAGGAGCAGTGGCCTATCGAAACCCCCATGTGGTTGGGAGCATTCTGTATTCTGTGTCTGTCATCAACCACATCTGGCACCCAGAAAGGTAGGTGCCCCAAAACAAGCCCATATTCTGGTGAAACTATTGCTAATGAAGGCAGAACGAGTGGACAGTGGACGAGTGGACATTAATTTATGCCCGAAACGCTTTGCGTAATAGTGGCTTTAGGCATTGTATGTACTAGCCCTATCTATAAATCCATCACTCTTTGTAAAATCTCTTGTATGTATGTACCTTACCTAAATAAACATTTGATTTGATTTGATTTGATTTGACAGAACTCCCCAAATGAAAATTAACAAACGACTATGATGTCATCATGTCGCTGCGCCGCTGTCTGTGCAACCCCTACGCCGGCGATCCACCCTGCAGTTCGAAGGCTGGATGTCAAAATATGCAAAAATATCGCTGACCAGAGGGAGGGAGGGAGGGATGCCAGGGAGCCTCCGGGACTCGCCCAAAAAATTATGTTTCATTACATTCAACGCTGGTTTTCTGGGGGAGGTTATCTTGAGATGATTTCGGGGCTTTTAGTGTCCCCGCGGCCCGGTCCTTGACCAGGCCTCCACCCCCAGGAAGCAGCCCGTGACAGCTGACTAACACCCAGGTACCTATTTCACTGCTAGGTAACAGGGGCATAGGGTGAAAGAAACTCTGCCCATTGTTTCTCGCCGGCACCCGGGATTGACCCCGGGACCACAGGATCACAAGTCCAGCGTGCTGTCCGCTCGGCCGACCGGGGGAGATACCGTTGGCTCCCCGGAGCTAACTACCCAAAGACGAGGAAAAACAGGGACTTACCCGGGTGGCGATCAGTTCTCACTCCTCAACGTGAAGCCGAGACAAATGGCTTAAACCGCCGACCCAATGCAACGCAGGGCCTACGAGGTCCAGGGACATTGACAAGGTAGCGAGCGGCCAGGACCCTTTTCGTCCTCCAAAAACCCTGTGCCTGAATGTCAACCTAAGACATGTTGCCAAAGCAGCAAACTTACGCACGTCGTGGGCACAAGGATAGACCACACGCTGGCTAACCTTAATAATCCTGCGGACGACCTGGGAGACCCAAGCCCGGGAACAGGAAAGAAGGAAGACCGGATCAACCCACAGCGCATCCCCGGCCACAGAAGCCATGGCACGCAAATATCGGCAGAGAACCTGACCAACCAAGCATCAACAATCCAAGGACCCCTCCGGAAAATAGCAGTCTCATTCTTTGTCAGAAAAGGAGGAGATGGCTGCAACCGAACAAACCTAACACCTGCACTAAAAGAGCAGAAATCGCTGCGCTGAAGGAGAGCATGAAGCTCCCCGACCTGACCCCCAGAGGCCAATGCCAACAGCAAAAGAGCCTTGGAAAAACAATTCTGAACCAATGGGGCCACCACAAACTGAGGAGAAGAGAGAAAGAGAGCGAATCCGGTGACGAATGAGCAGGCTGGAGGTGAAACAACACACACGACAACTTGCAGAACGGAGCAGATGTAACATCAATACCGAATGCAAGCTGGAGCGACTCCGCCAGCGCCACATGATAGGAGGCAACAGTATTCGGCATAAGATGATGGTCCTGAAACAACCATGACAGGAAGGACAAAACAACCTTATAAGAGACCGAAGTACACCTATGCAGTGATAGGAAAAACTGGAAGGACTGCCAGGAAACCTCAAACTGCTGCCGAGATGAAGCACGCAGATGGGAGACCAACACTGACACCACTTGCGCCCCATACAAATGGTGATAGACTCATGTCAGACAGACTAGACGCGAAGACTCGAGGAGAAGAGCGAACCAGTCTCGTAACGGGCAGGACCGATCTCCTGAAAGAGGCGGAGCCACTGGAAGACCCTCGTGTTCGGACACCGAGCAAACAGCACGTGAAACCAAGGCTGGGCCAGCCACCAAGGGGCCAAGAGGACTACTCTTCCCTGGTAAGTCTCAAAGCGAGCCAGGACTTAAAGCAACAGCTGAAACAGGGGGAAGAGGTACAGGTAACCCCCACCTCGCCTAGTCCTGCCTGAAGGCATCGATCCAGACAGCCCCGCAGTCGGTTAAGGGCGCCACGTATGCCGGGAGACACCTCGACCACGCCGACGCAAAGAGATCCACTTCCGGAGGCCCGAACGTCTGGCATAGCCAATGGAACGAGTCGGTGTCGATCGTCCATTCTGTGAACATGGGAATGAACTGGGACAGGCCGTCTCCCAGGACATTGGACACCCCCCAGATGTGAACTTCCAGGAGAGTCAAACCCCGAGAACTTAACAGGCAAGTCACCCAAAGCGACCAGCCCCCAAAGAGCCAAGGACTGCGTCTAACCCCCGTGGTTCAGTCAGTGAACTACCGGGGAACAGTCCGAATGGAGCTGGACTGTCGATCCGCGAGAGATCCGAATCCTCCTGAGCAACATCCACATAGCCGTGAACTCCCGCACTGTGCTGTGAGCCCAACGGAGGGACGAAACCCACCACCCCTGGCCGGCCTGGTGAGCACTGTTCACAATGACCCAGCCAAGAGACAACACTTCTGTGAACACATCGAGCGAGGGCTCAGGTAGGCCAAGGCACTGAACCCCGAAAAACCCGAAGACGCAGCAACCAATGCAAGGCCCTCGGGGCCCGAACCCAGCTGTCGCAAGAGAGGCGGAAGGGACATCCTCGAAGGAATCAGAACAGCCTATCAAGCCACACCTGACCCGACCCGACAGGTAGACCATCATGGACAAACAAACAGACAAACTGTCTGTTTGTTCAGACAAACCCTCGAGCAACCGCCGCTTTACAAGGGAGCCCCTCAGAAACAGATGAAGGCGGGAACGCAGATGAAGCAGAACCGCTAGAGAAGAGACAAGGAAGCAGCCCGAGCATCCCACACAAGACCCAGCCAAGACCGAACCTGATAGGGGAACCAGATGGGACTTCCGCCAGTTCACCAAGAACCCGAACCCGGCGAGCTGGGAAAGAACCAAATCCCCGGTGATCAGACACGTGGACAGGCTGGGAGCCCAAACCAGCCTGTCGTCAAGGTAGGCCAGAACCCGAACACTTAACAGACCCAGGCAGGCCACCACGACCCGAGTAAGGCGGGTGAAAATGCGAGGCGCCAGATTCAAGCCGAATCGAAGGCAGCAAAAGCAGTAACCTTGATGTCCCACAACAAAACATCCAATCTCTGTTCTGCGGATGAATCAGGACATGCCAATACACGTCCTGGAGGTCCAGGGACACCATGCAAGCACCCGGCTCCAATGAAGCAAGAGGTCCGCGCAGTCCCGTTTCGGGACCGGAAACAGGCGAGGGGAGCCACCTGAGGAACGAGGACATTTTAGTTTCCTCCAACATTTAGTTTTCCACATCCACCTATTTTCTTCTCCTCTTCCACCCTTGAATGCAGTCCTGGCAAACTAGGGTTTGAACCAGAGTAAGTGCAGTGATGGAAAATTATCCTTGCTTACTGAGTGCTCATTTGGAGTTGTATTTAGATGATAAATTTGACCTTATTGCAACCAGTCCACAAGTATTAAAGGCACATCTGCAACAAGTGTGCAAGCATTAGTAGTACAGGTACTTACATCTGCAACCAGATCACAAGTGTTTAAGTACAGACCTGCTACAAGCATACACCTGTCACCAGCAAACACCTGCTGCCAGCAAACACCTGCCACCAGCAAGCACCTGTTGCCAGCAAACATATGCCACCACTAAATACCTGCTGCCAGCAAGCACCTGCTACCAGTAAACACCCTCTACCAATAAGCATACATTTATAACTAGCACACATTTACAACGAGCACACATTTGCAAGCAGCACACATTTGCAAGCAGCACACATTTGCAACCGGCACACATTTACAACCGGTACACATTTACAACCAGCAAACATTAGCAACCAGCACACATTTATAACCAACAGACATTTACAACCCGCACACATTTGCAACCGGCACACATTTACAACCGGCACACTTTTGCAACCGGCACACTTTTGCAACAGGCACACTTTTGCAACAGGCACACTTTTGCAACCAGCACACTTTTGCAACCGGCACACTTTTGCAACCGGCACACATTTTGAACCGGCACACATTTGCAACCGGCACACTTTTGCAACCAGCACACATTTGCTACCAGCACACATTTACAACCAGCACACATCTGCAGCCAGCACACACACATATTTACAAATACAGCATTCTAAATTTTTTCCGGTTGTTTGTATCTGTGCTTATCTTGGCTGCCTCTTTATTAGAGTCATCTCTGTTTTTGTCCTGGTTTCTTCATTTATGCATTATTTCTCGTTTTCTCAAAGTAAGTGAATAGAAACAAACGAGTTACTAGAGATGTCGGTATGAATTAATACATGTTCATAGTGTAAGTGTAGAGTCGGAGCCAATTGTTTCCAGTTGTTAACAATGGAACTTTTGAGTTAAATACAGTAGATAATAAATGTGAGACCACATGGGAACCAATGCCAAGAGGCTTGTGTACATACGTATAGTCGATATGTATTTTTATTATAGTGAACAGTGGTAAGTTGAACAGTGAAAAGGAATGTGTAACACAACACATAAATAAGTAAAAAGTGTAGAAAAATTGCACATGGAAAATTAGAAATGTATAATAGTGTCAGAATGAGGCAACATGCTAGGCTGTGTTGTCACAAGCTACGAAGCCAACCCAGTGTGCGAGACGTCCCTCATTGATATTGTACTGTGAATATACACTGTATACTGTAATACGGGAATGAGAATCTAGGAATTAGTAATAGAGTAAGTAATTTTCATTGCAAGCTGGAAATTAAGCAGAAAATTCCTTAGGGTAATACAGGCAGATAATAAGTCAATGTTATAAATCAAGTAACTGGCAACTGGTTGCATCCATCCCGTGACTGGGACAATGGCAGTCAACTGTACATCCCACAGGGACCACCCCCCTCTACCATATGATAAGTACCTGTACACAAAGTGTGAACATATAAACATATATAATATAAATATATACATATACTGTAATAATATAAACAGTAAAATTACTAAAGTCTACAAGGGATACATACGGTGAAGCACAAATACAATACATAAGACAATAGAAGTGTGTGGCAAGTGTTTTGAAGCATTTCAAAAACATAATGTAGGCTGTCAGAGACCTGACAGTTGAGTGGACAGCGCTTCGGCTTCATAGTCCTTAGGTTCCGGGTTTGATCCCCGCTGAAGGCAGAAATAAATGGGCAGAGTTTCTTTCACCCTGATGCCGATGTTACCTAGCAGTAAATAGGTACCTGGGAGTTAGACAGCTGCTACGGGCTGCTTCCTGGGGGTGTGTAACAAAAAAGAGGCCTGGTCGAGGACCGGGCCGCAGGGACGCTAAGCCCTGAAATCATCTCAAGGTAACCTCAAGATAACCAGGTACATTTACAACCATCACACATTTGCAACTGGCACACATTTACAACCAGCACACATTTACAACCGGCACACTTGCAACCAGCACACATTTACAAACAGCACACTTTTGCAACCAGCGCACATTTACAACCAGCACACATTCACAACCAGCACACATTTACTACCAGCACACATTTGCAGCCAGCTCACAATTGCAACCAGCTCACAATTGCAACCAGAACACATTTGCAGCCAGCACACACCTGCTACCAGCATACATTTGCAACCAGCACACACTTGCAACCAGCACACCGTTGTTAGAATCACTTACCTTCGACAGAAGAGTCAGCTTTCCATGACTGCAACCAACTGTTCATCAACAAAACAATGCATTGCTTGTAAAAATCATAATTCACATTATATTGATTTAATAGTAGTTTGTTTTTCCTCTTCTACAGTATTTAGCTTTTAAATAAGTTAATGATTTATTCAAATATTGGCATGCCAAATAATTATTATTTTATTTTTATTTTATTTTTGTATATTTTTTTTAGGCTGTCATGGATGAATTCTGTGGCAGTGGGCCGAGCAGCCTACCAGCCAACTGATGTGGAACACTGGGCCAACATGGTGACACATGGGGTATGTACCTTGCCTTGCTACTCGGGTACACTGAGAGCTAGTTGTAGTTACATCAGTCTACACATATATGTATAGTGTGTTGGATAAACAAAAATTAAATGAAAAGTTAAAAAATACTGTCATTCTGGTAATATAATTGGCATGATGAAGAGAGGCTACAATAAATTTAATATTTATCATCTTTTTAGTGAGTTGCCATCAAGAAACTCTTTCGTGTATTAAGCCACTGTTTTCGGGATGCATTAAACAGTTTATTGATGGTGAATATGCTCTTTGCAGCCAAGCTGAGTTAGGGTAGATGTACTCTCCAGCTTAGGGTATGTGCTTAAGAGTTATTAGCTGCATGTATAATATATTTTTTCTTATCAACAGCCTTCATATTTTTCATCAGTTATTGTCACTGAAGTATCTTCTAGTATATTGAGGCCCTTGTTAGTATACATTTGCTTCATATATATATATATATATATATATATATATATATATATATATATATATATATATATATATATATATATATATATATATATATATATATATATATATATATAATATACTGTATCCACTTGCTAATCCAGACTATATGGGAAGGACTCCCATCCAGATTATCACGTTTTCCGGATTAACATACGTTTTCACCTCTTGAGTTCAAAAGGGAACATTTCCAGCAATTTTTATACCACAATCATGATTTGAATTGACACACACTAATTAGTGTGTGGGGCTGGGTGGGTGGTTAGCTACCTAGCTGGTAGGTGGGCAGGCGGTAGGTTTTGGATGGGTGGATGGCAGGCAGATGGGCTTGGTGGGTGAACAGGTTCGAGCAGGCAATTGGGTAGGAGGGTGAGCAGGCAGGTGGGTGAACAGGTGGGTGGGTGGGCTATCAGGTAGGTGGGCAAGCAGGCAGGTGGGTGAAGAGGTGGGTGGGTTGGCAGGTCTGTGCAGGCAGGTAGGTGAACAGGTGGGTGGGTGGGCGAGCATTCAGGTGGGTGAACAGGTGGGTGGGTGGGCAAGCAGGTGGGTATGTGGGTAGGCATGCAGGTGGGTGGGCTATCAGGCAGGTGGGTGGGCAAGCAGGCAGGTGGGTGGGCAAGCAGGCAGGTGGGTGGGCAAGCAGGCGGGTGGGTTATCAGGCAGATGGATGAACAGGTGAGTGGGCTATCAGGTAGGTGGGTGAACAGGTGGGTGGGTTGGCAGGTCTGTGCAGGCAGGTGGGTGGGTGAGCAGGTAGGTGGGTATGCAGGCAGGTGAGTAGGTGGGTTTGCAGGCAGGTGGGTAGGTGGGCGTGCAGGCAGGTGGATAGGTGGGCGTGCAGGCAGGTGGATAGGTGGGCGTGCAGGCAGGTGGATAGGTGGGCGTGCAGGCAGGTGGATAGGTGGGCGTGCAGGCAGGTGGGTTGGTGGGTGAGACTGGAAAGAGACAGATCACAGGTCTGTGATCTCCTTCCTGGTCACCCCCTTCCCCTACCTCACACTAGCCTCCGCAACTTCCCTCCACGTGTGTCAACACATGGGGGGTTGACACGCTATATGATGACTAACATACGTGCCTTAAGTTCTGTTAAACCCCATTTTATTTTCAGGTAAATATTTAAATGAATAAATAGCAAACCAAATACAGTGGTACCTCGCATAACGATCGCCCCAAAAGACGAACATTTTGGGTAACGAACGGCCCGATCGGCATCAAATCGTCCCATATGACGAACGCTGGTTTGAGTAACGTCAACACCACATGGTGGGCCAGGTGGGGTCGCGCTGCTTCTTGCACATTCTTAGACGCCTCCGACGATGCACATAAATTATGTTGTTCTTGTTTAAAGATGCTAACGATTCTGGGATATAATGGGGTGACTGCTGAGATGTTGCAAAGCATTGACGTTTTTGTAGGAAAAAAGAAATGAAATGTCTGATATACAACAAATGTCAAAAAGGTTCATTCGGTTTTCGGCAGGTAGGCTGCTCCATTATAACAATCTTTCTTTGTTTCAAATGTGTTCCATTTGTTTTGTATTTGTCATTTACGTCTCAATAATGGAGAAGCCTACCTTACATACACTGAATAAACCATTATGACATTTTCCTTTCTTCAAATGTGTTCAATATTTATTTTTCATTTGTCTTATAGCAAAATGTTCGTTCGGTGGTCGGCAGGTAGGCTGCTCCATGTTTCTTCCATACAAAAAACGTAAATAATAAAAAAAATGAAGATTTTTGAAAACCAGTACAAATGTCAAAAAGGTTCGTTCAGTCGTCTACAGGTCGGCTGCTCCATGTTTCTTAAATAAAAAAAAAAAACGAAAAATAAAAGAACTGTTGAAACAATTTGAAAAATGGACAAATGCCATAAAGGTTCGTTCAGTGTTTGTCGGGTAGGCTGCTCCATTATTGAGACATAAGTGACAAATACAAAACAAATGGAACACATATGAAACAAAGAAAGATTGTCATAATGGAGCAGCCTACCCAACAAACACTGAACGAACAATATGCTATAACGAATATGAAAGACAAGTGGTTGGCTGGGTTAGTACTGCGTGAGCAACCATTTGTGGCACACATGCCTCTGGCTCTCAAACACCTGTCCGACACGGTGTTGAAAGACTGCGCTCAGTCGGTGCAATTCAGAGACCCTATTGTTTGAAGAACATAAGGGTCATAACATTGGTGAAGCTAGGCGCAATAAGGGCTTAACACAATGGTCGGATGCCAGTGATACAGCACCTATGAGGATGATACAGCGAGCGTATCCAGTTGTAGCTCTGAGCCCCACCCTTGCCATCTCGAATTTATATAGATGATACATAGATGAATCGTTTTCTGCGTTCAGTGATGATGCATCTGATACAAGTAGCATAGATGAACAGTGTTAGCGGCTTCCATGGTGGTGTTGTTCATTGATATTTTCAAGAATACCTGAATCTCTTCCTGACTGATGGACACTTTGAGGCTAGCTGAATCTCTTCCTGACTGATGGACACTCTTTGAGGCTAGCTGAATCTCTTCCTGTGTGGGACCTTACAAAGCGATCTTTTCAAGACTACCTTACAAATTGAGCTTTTCCTATAATCGTTTCAATACTACCATATGCTTTACAAGCTTGGCTACATACCACCTACAAGTACTAAAGCCAAGGGTGCACGCGAGTGCGTTATTTGCAAGCACACAGAACGATGAAACAGGAAACGAAAATCTATCTGTAGCTGGTGCAAGGAGAGCAAAGTTGCGCTGTGTACCATGGACTACTTCATTGACTATTACGCACCTCCAAAGTACTGAGTGTGTAATACAGTGTATTACTGTGTAAATAGTATGTGAAACTGTACATATTGTAATTTTAGTGAATTTTTACCACGTAATATTGTGACAATAAACATTTATTGTGGACACATTACTGACACATGTATCACAGTTTCATGGAAAATTATGAACATTCTACTGTATACATATTGTAAAGGTCACAAATATGCATCATATACGATAAAAGAAACAAATAAAACCGCATTGGAAATGCATAGAAAAAATATTTGAAAATATATTTGTGGCAACACGCGGTGCTTGAATGGCCTGCGCGACCGTGTCTGGGAGCTTAACACATGGGCGACCAGGCCCTGATGACGTCACAGCGCACCTTGTCGACTCCCTCACAGCCAAAGTAAGTGGAATTTGGTAATTATTTTTACATAGACATGTTCAGGGACGGTAATTTATCATTTTGCAAAGAAAAATGATATTTTGGGGAACATTTGATGTCATGCACACTGGGGGAATTTCACAATAAACACAGTGCATCACACTGGTTATATGGGGGACACTCGTTTTGTATGACGTCCGTTTCACATGACGAACATGGAACGGATTAAATTCGTTATGCGAGGTACCACTGTACTGTACTTACTGTTCAAATATTATACAGTAGTGTGTTATTTAATATTCGTAACTAGCTCTCCACAGCAATAAGAAAACAATATAATTTTGCAACACCTCCAATGCCACCTTTCTTCGATAGGCTTAAGTGACTCGCATCTAGTACCCACACACTCAACACTTTTCCCTCCCTCCCTCCCTTCTTGGTTGTGCTGTACAGTGAGTGTTAGGCCCGGCACTTAAAGGTTCACATTAGCACATTTCCAAAAATGTTTGTACAGACAGCCACTTGGTTTTCCAACTTAACACTTTATTGCACCGCGTGCGCAAGACCCACACTACCCCGGGTGGGCCTCAGTGTTTCACGGGAGCGCACGGTAATTCTGAAAAGTACATACTCTTTTCAACTTTGTCACCTCAATTCTCATCCAAGGTTTTTCAATTTAATATCATTGTGTTCGCAATAGAATTCTCTACAGGACTAAAGGCATATAAAGTCCAGAAGCCCAGCGTACCATCCACAACAAACAGAGAAAATGAATGCGTTTTATCCAGGAGTGCGCAAGATCGATAAAATGTGTACACTCTTTTCACTTTTGTCACCTCAATTCCCGTCCTATGGCTTTCATTTTGGTATCATTGTGTTAGCAATAGAATTCCCAACAAGAGTATATGCATATAAAGTAAAAAAAACTGCAGCGTGCTCCACCTGCCGACAAGATGAAAGTGGCCCAGAAAGAGAGCACTACGCCACCCCAAGGCACCTCTCATTACATTAGAGACCACGGTAATACTGAAAAGTGTATTCTCTTTTCCACTTTGTCATGTCATTTCTCATCCTAGGTTTTTCAATTTAGTATCAATGTGTTCACAATAGAATTCTCTACAAGACTAAATGCATATAAAGCCCAAAAACCCAGCGAGAAAGTGAGAAAGTAAGAGCGTATTACCCAGAATCGCACATGAGCAATAAAATGTGTACACTCTCTTCACTTTGGACATCTCAATTCTCGTCCTAGGTCTTTCATTTTGGTAACATTGTGTTCGCAATAGAATTCCATACAGGAGTATATGCAAATATAAAGTCCAAAAGCCAGGCGTACCACCCACAGCAAACAGAGAAAGTGACAGTGA